TTTTTTTTCCTTTTTTTTTTTTTTTTTTTTTTTTTTTAATATAATGTGATTTTAATCCCTAACTGGAACTTTACTTTTCTTGCATTTTTCCTTCTTTTTGCTGGCCTTACCAGATTCCCTTTTCTGGGGTGAAATACCAAGATAAACCTCTTTGGCAGTGACAACCCTAGGGGTTTTGAAGGTCTACGTGAAATAAGAAAGACGAGTCAGCATAGGTCCCTTCTGTCACTGGACAATATCTATATGCTTTCCTGTGCTGTTTTTCACTTCCAACAGCTCTTCAAACATTCTGCCAGCTGTAGGGGGGGCTCTGATCACTAGTGACCCTGAGATGTGGGGCCAATAGATAGCAAATGAGAAGCAAAGCAATCCAAAAATGTAGAGTAGAACTAGAACGAAATGGTATGAACATGTGTAAATCACTGGCGTCTCATATGCCCTCATTCCTGTCCAATCTAGAGAGGCTACAAAATCTATTGCAAACTTTACCTGACTCAGATGGCAGCTGGTCAGGCTTTTGGCTTTGGAGGTTCCCCAATTCAAGTCTTAGATAAGCACAGATTAGGTGATGATCTTCCTTTTAAACAGTACACTAGGGACTGAACTACTAGCTGCTACCACTGCCCTTTTGTAGCAAGCACACGGAGAAGAGCAAGCACACCTGCAGTCCATCCTGCTTGTCAAGTTCTTTTACCCTCCATGCAAGTTGCAAGCAGCACTAATGTCATGCCGTGTTTTCCTGGTACTCTCACTGCAATGTTAGCTTGTTTGTTTGCAAAATAACTCAGTTTTGTCCTGAAGGAAGCCCTAGGGAAAAACAGATTATATTAGGGCTAGTAAAGAAAAAGCATTTTATTGTAAGTCAACATTTAAAAAAAAAAAGAAGCAAATAACATTTGTTCTTAATGTTTTGGGGTTTTTTGTTTTGGAGGTTTTGACAAATATTTGGGGAGGGAAAGGTAGTTTTTTTCCAAGAAAACTTGGAAGTTTTTATTAAACCAGAAAGCCAGCTTTGGACAAGAAATTCTTTGACAGTAATTGCTTTGGCCAGCTCCATCTATCATCACGGCATAAAGGTGCTTGAATTACTGAACAGGGCAACCTTTTCTCTCTCTGGTCCAAGCAGCCAATATTTGCATAACAAAGGCTGGTGGATCTGCCCAACTCCAAACCCTTGGGCTCTCCTCTCTGAAAAGATTTGCTTCCTAATGATTTTACACTAAGAGCTATCAACAGCATCCTCCATCACTTCTCACCCTTTTCTTGTCATCCCCCCACCCCACCCCACCCCCTTACTTCCATCTGTCTTCATAGCAGGTGCTTTATAGGGACACTTGTTAGCCAGTATGCATTTTCAATCCAAGAGCAGAAATACATTTTAAGGCAGGGTATTATTGTATGCAGCCACAATGAGAACACAAGTCACAACTATTTGGTGCAGGATTTTATTTTACACGGCTCCTTAAGACAGCATTGTTCTACACAGGGAATAGCTTCAGTACTTTTATATAAAACTAAGTGCACAAAAAGTTGACACAGACATTTTGTATATGGGGATTTGGTGCAGAAGTTCTGTACTTAGTTTAAGTGTGCAGCTGTCATTTTTCTGTACGTGAATGAGTGACTGACATGTTTCTGGGCATAGGATTATTATTCACATTACACTAGAGCCTAGAACATCTAACCAACATCAGAGCCTCATTGTACTAGGTGCTGCACGTAACAAGAAACTGAGCCTGCTTGTACTGAGCCTACAGTCTGAACAGAAACACAGTAGGATTGGGAACAGACACAGTGGGGTAAAGGGATGTGCCTAAGGTCACCCAATGGGTCAGTGGCAGAGATAGGAACTGAACCCATCTCCTGTGTACAGTAATGTGTCCACTTGATCGCTTCCTCGTGTGGATCAAGCTGAACACCACTGCTTATTTTTTTTGTTTCTTTTACATGATAAAGAGCTCATCAATAAAGCTCCTCTCAGGCATGGTCTGATGCCTGCCCCACCTGAGCTGTTCTCAGCTCCCTATCTCATAGTTTCATAGTTAGTAGGGTTGGAAGGAACCTGAGCAGATCATCAAGTCCGACCCTCTGCCATGGCAGGAAAGAGTACTGGGATCAAACGACCCCAGCAAGGTGATTGTCTAGCCTTGTCTTAAAGACCCCCAGGGTAGGAGCCAGCACCACTTCTCTTGGAAGTTGATTCCAGCTCCTAGCCGCCCTGACAGTGAAGTAGTGCCTCCTGATGTCTACTCTGAATTTACCCTCTGCCAGCTTGTGACCATTATT